AGATCTGCACAATCGTCTAACAAAACTGAGGTGAATAACCTATTTTTTTAAAATTATATTGTTTACATCGAATATTAAAAATATATTATAAAATATGCTTCTCAATGAGAATTTTTATTTTTTATGTCCAGGGCCCATGCAAGATGCTAGAGATCTGTTTCCCAATGAGAATTTTTATTTTTTGCACTTGCAATCCATCTCAGAGATCTGTAGAAGCAACTCATGATCAAATGGACGGTGGTGAATATTTCTTCTCTTTGGGGAGGCTACATATAAGTTAGTCTTAGAGTAAAATCTATTTAGCGAGTATTTTTATAGTAAAATACGATTATTAAACACCTCTGTTTTATTATAAAAATGAGGTTTTTTATCTTCTCTATTTAACTATCACCTTGGTGATAAGGAAACCCGAGGTGAATAATTTTTTTTTTTGAAATTACATTGTTTATACAGAATATTAAAATAATTTTTTTACACAAGAATGATTTTCTGGACTTGCAATCTATCAACTGAGTACTCTTCAAAGGTTGAGCTTCCTTTTCTAACTGAGGGTTATTCCAAAAATACAACAACGACAACATTAACACCATTATGTCAGATAGATTTCAAGGGAAAAATAAATGTTTTGTTCAAGATAGAAGAACATTGAATATTTTTCTGTCTTACAATCCATCCCAAAGAATGATGCTTACGAGTTTGAGGCGGCTTCATATTAGTAACGATTAGGGTAAAATTTGTTTAATGAGTGGTTTTTTAGTAAAATATTATTATTTTATACCTCGGTTAAATAGATAACTTAATGGTTAGAACAATTTGTTTACACTTATAAACAAATAAAATCATAAACTGCGATAGCTGGGAATCGAAGCTTGTACTGAGTTGTTTTTTGACCTCGAAATGTATGTTTTTTTTTTTAAATAATAAAAAATAGTTTGCCTTGGCTTTATACTTCGATTTTCTATTGTTTAAGGTGAAAGCTTCGTCATGAAAAGCATTATTTGTTGTAGTGTTCTCCTTTGGGATTTAACTTCACCTTGTATGCCCAATTCACATCGGTTGCCTTCTTTCCTTGAGGCAATTCGACAAGTGACCAAGTTTTGTTGACTTCAATAGACTTCAGTTCCTCATTCATCACTTTCATCCACTTCAAATCCTTCAATGCCTCAGCTGCATTGACTGGTTTGACATCTGCATAGAAAGCATAATGTACCAACTCACCTTCATCATTGATCACATCATCTGATGTAATCACACATTCCTGCAACCTTGCAGGCATGTACCTTATTCTTTGAAGCCTACTTGTGTTGGCTTGACCTCTAAATTCTTCTTGTCGAAATTCTCTTTTGAATTCACTTGCTAGTTCTTCATATAAGATTCTCACTGAATCCTTTTTTGCATTTTTAGTCCAATCTCATTCCCTAAGCTCATCTATGATCATGTCTATGTTGATCACTACTTTCTTGTTCATTGGGACGAATAACTTGTATCCACCAGTCGAATGATATCCTATTAGGATCATTTGACTCGACTTGTCATCAAATTTTCTTCCCAATTGATCATGCACATGTTTATGTGTTATAGGTCTAAATACTTTTAGATGACTTAAGTTAGGCTTGACACCAGACCAACATTCTTCTGCCGTGATTTGTTCTAACTTTTTCGTCTGATATCTGTTCAAAATGTATGTTGCAGTCGACACAACTTCTCATAATTCTTTGGGTAGATGCTTTCCTTTCAACATACTTCTCACCATATTCATGATGGTTTCATTCTTCCTTTCAGCAGTTCCATTTTGTTGTGGAGGGTAGGGTGGCACCACCTCATGCATAATCCCTTCTTTCTCACATAATGTGTCGAAGTCTTTCGACACATATTTTCCATCACCATCATTCACCAGAATCTTGAGCTTTCGACCACTTTTCATTTTGACCATAGATTTAAACTTGGAAAATGCCTCAATCACTTCACTTTTCTTCTTGATCAGGTAAGTCCATGGTTTTCGACTAAAATCATCTACGAATGTTACAAAGTATATGTTACCTCCAATCAAATCCACCTGGATAGGACCACATACATCAAAGTATATGATTTCAAGATTTGCCTTCAACTTGCTTCCTACATTCTTGCTGAAGTTGTTCTTGTGGTGCTTTGCCTACACACATTCCTCACACACTTCATTTGGAATGTCGATTTCTGGTAACCCTGAAACCATATTTCTTGTTTTCATATCTCTGATGTCTTTGAAGTTGAAATGGCCAAGTCTATAGTGCCATATTGATTCATCCCTGCTAGTTGCAGTTGCAAGGCACCTAGATCCATCACATTAAGTTTAACCTTGAAGGTTCAATTATGAGACATGGGAGCCTTCAAGGTTAACCTTCCACCTAAGTCGAGAACTCTCATCTTATCTTCAATCGACACTTTATAGTTATTTTCGATCAATTGCCCTATGTTGAGCAAATTACTTTTCATGCCTGGTATATACAATACATTGGAAATTATTGATCTTTTTCCATCTTTCCTCATAATCAGAACATCGCCAATACCTTCAGCTGCTAGAGTATTGTCATTTTCAAATTTCACCATGTTCTTCATTGAGAATTTTATGTTGACAAACCAATCTTTGTTACCAATCATGTTTGATGAGCATCTTGAGTCCAAGTACCATTAGCCCTTGAATCTTTCTTCATCTTTTGTTGTGACCATCATCAACATCTCTTCTTCTTCATGCTTTGCAAGCTTTGCATCATTTTCTTGATTCTTTTCTTTTTCAGAATAATCACTAGATTAATGACCGTACTTCTTACAATTGAAACACTGAATATGACTTTTGTCAGATTTTTTTACCACCACCTTTTCCTCTACTTGCAACACCACCTCTGTGGTTGCTTTGGTATGAGGGTCTTCTTTGATTTAACGAATTTCTTCTTGCTTATTTCCTCTACCAATCGAATTACTGTAACCTCTTCTACCTTTGTTGTCAAAGCATTTTTCTTTGTCTTTCTTTTCTCTTGTTGATTGCGTCTGCAGCGCCACATCACTCTTCGACTTGCTTGCAGCTCTTTCAGTCATTCTTTGTTCATGAGATTCAAGCATCCCTTGAAGCTTTTCCTTTGTCAATGTTGACAAGTCTTTCGGTTCTTATATGGCTACTACCAATTGATCGAATTTTTGAGTCAATGAGTTCAAGATCTTTGCAACAACTGATCTTGATGTTAACACTTCTCCACATACCTTGATTTGATTCACCAGTTTCGTAACCCTAGTGAAAAAATCACTTACGCTTTCACTTTCTTCCATCTGAAGCAATTCATACGTTCCTTTGTAAGTTTGTAACCTCACCTTTTTCACCTTCTCAACGCCTCCAAACAATTTCTCCAAAGTTTTCCATGCTTCTTTTGTTGATTCAACATTACTCAGATTTTCAAAATTGTCTAGATCAACTCATTGGTGAATTGTAAAGAGAATTTTATAATTTTTCTTCTTCAATTATTTATGTGTGCCCTTTTCTTCGTCTATCGCGTTTTCTGCAAGTGGTGTTACTCCTTACTTCACAAGATCCCACATGTCTTGATAACATAAGACAATCTTCATCTGCTTACACCAATTGTCATAATTAATTTTTACCATTTAGAATCAGAAGACTTGTTGGAAAATGTTCGTTCAGATGATTCATCATGCTATGCTTCCCAAGAATCACGCAATCAATGCACTAGATACCAGATGTTGGAATTACACCCAAAACATGAATAACTTCAAATCAATCTTGAAGAGCAATAATCAATTCTTCTAACTGATTTCGCCTTTTGGTCTTCACTCTTCACTCGAGTGAATCAACCACACCTTGGTTGCAAGATGATTTTGTTGCGCAATGATTATTAAAAAAGAAAAGAAAAGACGAATTGGGAAGAAAAGAGAAATTAAAAGGGGAAGAAGAAGAATATTTCTGCAGAGTTTCTCTTTGCCTTCAAACTGAAGTTTTATTCTATCTTTTCTCTATGCATATGCATTATTATAATGATAGGGTACCTTCCTATTTATAAGTTGAGATTGCTTGCACACCAAACAATCTCCAACTAACCTAACTCATCTAAAAATACAAAATAAAGCTAAATCTAAATTTCAATCAAAATGCATTTCTTCAACATTTCGACATTTATACTATTTCTACATAGTGTATTTTGACAATAACAAAATTTATCAAAATGATGCTTTGACACAATATATATATATATATATATATATATATATATATATATATATATATATATATATATATATATATATATATATATATATATATATATATATATATATATATATATATATATATATATATATATATATATATATATATATATATATATATATATATATATATATTCTCTCAACATAATATTGGTTGTAGATTGCATCCTAAGATGAACCTCTCCAAAAATATTTTTCTTCCAATCCTTAAGACTCAATTTAATAGATTTCAACTTTTAACTAAGACCAAACAAAAGACAGCCAATAATGTTTTCTTTCCGAACATGCTTCACAACATTGACACAATCATGATGACATACCCACATTTTCATAAATTTAAAAGAAGACAAACGTCTACCATTAACCGTTTGAAACACCTGTTAATTTGGAGGTACAACACCTGTTGTGCTTGAATTTGTCACTAATATGTTACAAGCCTGGACATGTTAGTAATTATTAATGCAAACTCAAATGCAATTTTTGCCCCAATGGCATACTAAAAGTAATTACATTTTTGTCCAAATGAAGTCACATTGCACCCCTAAAAGTATATTTTTTTTAAAGTAAATATATCATAATGTAACACACTAAATGCTATTTTAGACATTTTCATCGTAACAAGATACACTTTTTTTCTTCACAGATATATCATTATAAGGTATTTGTCAAATGAATGACAGGAAGTAACAAAATTTAGCAACATACTTACGGATGTTGCGATGAGATTATCTTAATTGATATTAACTAAGTTACTAATGTCCCGTTCTCTCTTTGGCTGTATTTACTTGACTAAGGGGAGAACGAGGTATTAGTGACGGTTTCAACTCCTTTATATCAAGTGATTCATATGAATTGTTTTCTCGAAATTCCTCTATAAGGGTTTCCATTGGCAAGGATTGTAGAGACTCTATTGTCCCCTTACTTGGAACTTCAAGTTCACATCTTGTTGGAGTGGTCCCACGTGGCTCATAGTCCTGAAAAAAATACAAAACAGCAAGCCATAAACATAACTTCATTAACATCAATGTCATATATAAAGCATGCAAAATTCATCTTATGATCATTAAACAGAAGATTGAATCGGAAAAACCTACTCTATACTGCTGCTGACAAATTTCATGCGACTTTTCTTCAATCGAAGTTGCTAGGCCAGAGTGATCCTCTCTAAAGGTCTCGAGTGTATTCGCGTGAGTTTTGACAACGTTCAAAACATCAGATATGGAATCCCGCTCTTGTACAGACATGTCTGCAAAATATATCACAAGAACAAACCACATAAATGCAACATACAAATTACAAAAGAACTTCGAAATTCATGCAAAATTGGGAATCACATTGCGTGAAAGAATTTAAAAAATAAACATGTATATAACTCATCAATACGATATTGCTAAATCAAATGACAAATATCATGAACACGACACTCACCATCCAACCGCTGAAAGGTCTCATCATTGTTCTTTTCCACATCTTCAACAGCTGTAACCCGAACAGAATTAATCTCAATATCATGTTGCGTGTTGGAATCGGTAGCATCCCTGTACCAAATTAATCAATATCAAATGGAAGCCCAGTAATGAGATGATTAATATTTGAAAAATACAGTTAGATGGTTATTTTCAATCAATTTACCACACACCTGATAAGTGACATTGCTGCCGAAATATGTTTGACTCCGATCTCATTTATAACTTCGTGTGTCTTCTTTGTATTTCGGGAAGCTGATTGAGCAGTATTGATACTAAAAGAGATGAATTTAAAAGATATTGTTAGAATGTAAAGCAACAGAAAAGGCGTGAATCTAAAAGAAACAACACTCACCTCCGTTGTATGAGCTCCTCAATATAACCATGTTTGGCGGTAGAAAATTCTGCGGTGCCTTTTGCATCTTTTTCCGCTTGTGTGCATATGCCCTGCCACTTTCTCTTTGAAACAGACAGAATATCTCCCATTGATGATACATGTTCATCCAAAAATGACTTGCCAGCAATGCCATTTTTTCTAAGATCCCCGAGTTTTGTATCTACCTGCAAGTTCAATAACCGATCCGTTTTCATTTTTCAGTATTAATTGACGTGCATAAACACATGTCATCCCATCAACATTTGTCTCCCAAAAGAGAAAATTAAAAAAAAAAGAGAGAGAAGAAAATGGAATATATTAAAAGAAACACTTGGAACAGACCAGATCAATTTGACGACAAATGTGATTTGATACTAAACTAGTCATATCAGCTATAAGTTTCTCTGCATCAGATCTTGATTGCTCCTGCACAGAATAAGTGTTGCAGTTTGCAATCAGTATCAACAACAAACTATTTTAAAAAGGAATAAACTAACAATGCCGTGTTATCACCTCATAAGCTTTTCTAAACTCAGCGATACTCTTCGTTTGAATTTCATCAGCTGCAGACGCAAAGTTTTCAAGCTTTTTTACTTCTCTTAAAAGTTTATCTTCAAATTCGTGAGTGCATTCGGATATATCCTTTATTTGCTCGGCATTGACACTTAATCTCTTTTTTACGAAGCCAAAAAACAACCCAAGAAACAGATCAATTGGACAGTCAAAGTAAATGATACAATATACAGTGCAAAAATGTAAGCAAATATATAATTGCCAGAGAAAAAGCACTAATGTGAATAAGTGTTGGATATAAACAACGAGAAATAAGCACTTACATGGCGTAGTTCACTTGCAAAAAGTGTCAATTCGCCTTGCTGAGATGAAAGAGAAGTCTGAAGATCATCAAGTATTGAATTTGCTTTGGTGGCCTCAGATGCAAGAAACTGATTCACGAGATAAAAGTTACTGATTATTATTGTTGAACGAGATATGTTAGTAAGACATCATTACTAAATAAATGTAAGTAATTTCAAAAGTTGTAGCATAGCGTACTTCTTCAACAGAGTGACCATTAGAAGAAATAAGAGATGATAGTTTCTGAAAGGTTTCATCAGAACTCGACTTATGCAAACACACAACATTTTGCATCGCTTCGAGATGAGATGTATACAAAGCCCTTAGAGTTGTAACTTTTTGCTTCAAATCAACAACTGCCTACAAGCAACAAAAAGAAGGATGCATGAATAAGTACAAGAATACAATAAGTAGAAATGTAAAATCATGACCGGAGTTTCTACTTTCTAAACATAGGAAAATGAATCAACAAATTTAGTAAAAAACATGAAGGGATGTCATAAACGAATAACCGTGACAAAAGATTATTTTATGCGCACCTTATCATGAATGCCCAAAAATGAATGACAAAGGTTCTCTACACATTCAAGGTGCTCGTTCTGTCGAGACAAAGATGTTGCCACAGTATTACAAAGAGAACCAACTTGCTGGGTCAGCTCAACTTGAAAATTATTCAACGTAGCTTTGTTATCTATGTTCAATTTTTCTTCTCTACCTAATAAATGCAATAACATATACATTATTAGGTTCTTATAATCAGAGCAATGAAAATAATAAGAACACTCACCAATTTTCGAAAACAACGAAGCATTATCTTGAACAGCTTTCTCCAAATCAGCTCGTAAAACGAATGCTTGATGAGTAAGAGCATTTTCTATTGCAAGTAGTAAATATCATTAGCACAACAAAGTAAAGAAGTAACTTACAAAAAAAATATAAAAGCAACAAAAAAAATGATGATAAAATTAAAACATACAATCAATCATACCCGCTTTCCTCTGCTCAGAAATGATAAAATCTTTTTCTTTCAGAATATACTGACATTTCTTTAACTCTTCCTCTGTGTTATCAAGCAATATGCTGGTCTGCTTCAAGTTTTTCTGTATGGAAATAGTTGTTTCTTTTATAAGTATGCATATAGAACTTTGCAACAAAAATAACAAATACTCAGATAACTTACCTCAGTTGTAACAAGTTTTAAGCTCAAGTGCGAGCACTGCAAAACTTGATCATCGTATTTTCTTTGCAATTCCTCAAGTTGCTAATTGAAATAGACAAAAACAAAACAAAAAAACTAAGCATAACATGAAAAAGGACCACGCCAATGTATCGTCAAATATAATATAGCTGACAAGAAAAGAAACCTTCTTATGACTGTCTAATGCACCATTCATCTGCTTGATCTGATCTGACATGGCCTGACCATTCCAATAAATGAACAAAAACAAAGTAAGAAAATTGGAAAAAAGGAATTTTCAAACAACACAAAACCGTACATAACATTCTCAGTGGTTGAAACTTACATGGAATAAAATACATTTCCTGATAAACATGTCGAAATATTTGTATTGCAACAATACAGGAAACAAGTATAAAATAAAATATAAGAAAACAACCTTCTTTTCATTCTCCTGTTGAATGTATCTGTCTTTTGGTATGTAGATGCCATTTTTCTCACGAGCAGCATAAACCTCTTATCAAAATCACAAATTCCATCACCCTCAGAAACTCTCAAAAGAGAGAAAGCTAAAAACCTTAAATAACTTGCTTTATCAACAATGAGATAAACACAACTAACCTCCCTTAAGGCGTTCGATTTCACCATAGAGATCCTTGATTAGAGTTGTTTTCATCAGTTTTTGGTTAACCTGGTTAAATTAAAAAAGACGCATTAGAAGGAAAAAAGAAACTCAAGCTTTAATAATGAATCATATCAGAGCAGAATGAGACAAGATGTCGCATGGACACATGGTAAATAAAAAGGAAAATATCCACATATCTAGAATGTCTTATCATCAGTTTAGTATAAGCTCGTTTGACAACAAACTTGAAACACTAATATATAAGTAAAACGCAAGTTCTCTCAGGAATTGGAATAAGAGAATATTACAGCTTTCATTAATCACCAACAAGCACTAATTTTCTGCATATCAAAATTTGAATTGAAACTGATGCATTCATAAGATAATGGCCCAAAAAAATTACTTCATATTAGATATGCACAGTTTAACAAAGCTCTTAGGAACAATAACAAACCTCGGGTTTATTTCTTATGTTCTTCGCCCTGTGTGCATAATCCAATGTGCTCAAGGTCTCCTCTAAGCAATGAACTGCAGGAGAGACGGTCGCTATGATACATGTTTTTGTCCTTCCGCCAAGTGAATCGCGCAATAAACGTGTCAACTTGCTATCCCTAAATTCCAACTATTTTATATAAGCAAACAGGAAATAAGATACATACAAAATATGTAAGTGTAGATATCTAAACACAATGACTCAAACAAAAACTTAATATAATGATGCCTAGAAGTGAAGGGTGTTAACAAATCAAATGAAGCATAATCCAGGCATAAACAGAAGAGGGAAAAACCTGTAAGGGATATGGCCAAGGTGCTCCACAAGTGCAGAGATCACACGCCCTAAAGTAAGTAAACTTTTATTGATTTCTCCCGCTTCTCTTGCACGACCCTTAAATATCACAAAAATACAATTCATTGGGAAATTCCAAGAGTGTTTACCAAGTAAGATGTATGCTTAAAGTGCATGTAATACCTCTCTAGCACCAGAACGGGAGATATTTTCTGAACCGGCTAGATCAACCAAATTCAGTTTCCCGCATTTTATAAGTTCTTCACCTTCTCGGGTTGCTTCCTTGATGTGGATTGTAATGGAAAACAATGAATGTGACCTACTTGATTGTTTGTTCAATAAAGTCTCTGCAGTACGCCGTTTGGCAGACCCCCTTTCCAGTAGTGTAAAAATTTCACTTGCACTTGTTACGATCTCTTCTTCGAGACCTCTTACAAGAACACCACCTTTACCATCCTCCATAAGAGGAAGCTGCTTTTTTTGCTTCTCCTCTAAAGAAACTTTTGAAATTTCCTCTGGGGCAAGAAAATCAGTGATTTCCTCATTATACAATTCTAAAAAAGTAACCTTCACACTATATTCAGCATTCTGGCCTTCAAGAGTATCAAAAATCTGCTTAACAGCCCTAGGTATGACTCCTGCTTCTGCAGGCAACTCTCCATTAGGCCCGCTCTGTATAATAATCAAATAACTTCATCAAAGACGGTCAATGACCAGGCATGCAGGACATCCATTTCATTAATGATTGACACTAGATTGTACCTTTGTCTTTTTGGAATCGCCTTCCATTGTGTATGTCTTCCCTGTACCAGTCTGACCATAGGCAAATATAGTGCAATTAAAGCCCTCTAGAACTTCATTTACTATTGGAACTACAGCTTGATCATAAAGATCTTTTTGCTTTGCGGAAGGACCAAAGACCTGCAGCATATACATGAAAAAATTTCAAACTCTAGCCAGTCATTATTACACTTCCCCTAATTATATTGGCTTGTCAAAAAATTTAAGTGTAACCATTATGCATTATTGTGGATTAAAAAATGTGATACAATGAAGATGGTTGAAGATTACTGTATGATTTGGAAAATATTAGAAATTTTAAATTTTCCTTGTTATTCAAGCAATCTTTTATCATTTATAAATTTTAGCATTTATTAGCAAGCCGAAAGCAGAATTTGTGCTCTATAGGAAACGGTCCTTGGCTATGTTGTTAATCTCGGATAGCGTTGTTAGCATCAACCCCCTAAAATGCTAACAGATAGCAGGGTAATCCCTAATGCAAAGACTAAAAACTAATGTACAAAGTAAACATAAATACTCAAAAATAGACTAATACTCAAAATTAAAGAAATCGGCATACTTAATAGTAAAAGAAGCTAAAGTATAGACTAATAAAACTTATGCGGAGAAGCAAAATAAAACGGAACTAAACTAAAAGTAGGAAGATAAGCACAACGATTATTTTGAACAACAACATAACATTACCCTTTAAAAGATGACAGCAATTTCAAAAAAAAAATTGAGGAATTTTATCCCCAAAAGTCTACTAGCAAACACAATAGCGGCGGCTACTACATCTAATGTTGACATCGGCTTGAGGACCAAGAGTGTCACGTTGAATCCTACCGCTTGTACGCTATTCCGCTAGAGCAGTGCTATAATATGCTGACTATAGTGTGCTATTGACAACTAGGTCTGGGTACTCTTTCTGATGTGCAACCGGCATTGGTGTCCGACATAGACACCGACACATAGTGGTTAAATTCAATAATTCCATGTTTCAAATTACCAAGAGTATTCTTTAAGGTATTATTCTTCATTCCAATTACTGAATCTCCGTCTAACTAAGCAAGCAAACAAACAAGTAAATGAATTGTGTGATCAGAGTCCAAAAAGTTAACGATGAACACTTAGGTTTGCATAACACAATCAGACAATAAAATCATGAAGAATTTGGGGGCGAAAAAGACCTTATCGAATGTGAAAACTCTGTCGAAATGCTTGCCAGCGATGTTCTGAGAGACGGAAACCTCTCGGTTGTAGTCGTTGCATGTTACAACTTGAGGAGCATTGGCACGCAATTCCTCTTCACTGAAAGGTCTGAAGAAGAACAGAAAATAATAAATTGAAAATTAATCCATTATTTGAAGATGAAAAAGTGCGATGATAATGAAATTGATGGAAACAAATAATGAATACCTGCACCGAAGTAGGACTTGAACATTGACGCCTTTTTCTTTCGAAGACATATTTGAATTGAATTGAAGAGAGAAAAATTAGTAGATGAAGAAGAAGAGAAATGAGAGAAATGGATTAAGAGTTCTGGACGAAAGGTAATCTTATTTCTCGTTTCTAGCGGGAGGTTTTCTTTTTCATTTGAATTTATTTAACAAGCCTCGAATATCAGACAATACAGACTTCCGCTCTCTTTCTGTTCATGAATGATACTACTAACTATTAGTATTATTTAATTTTGGCTTAAATAATATCTTAATCCCGAGTTTTTAGTTTCAACTCTCTAATTTTTTTTTTATCTAACTTCTTATATTTTGCTATTTGCATGTAATTTACGGGAATTAAACTCGATAATTTATCGAGATCAAAAATCCATTTAAATAATAACTTTTTATAAAATTTTATAAATTGATTATTAATTAAAAAAATGTTTTGAAACAATTCAGATTTACTCAATTTTTTTATTATTAATTTTATAAAATATTATAATTAATTTTACGGAATTTTCTTTTATTAATGAATATTGATGACATGAGAAAAAGTTATTAGAAAAAGAAGAAAATAATAAATAGTAGAAGATAGAATAAAAAATCAATAATATTGAATTGGTAATGTGGCTTACAATTGAGATTTTTTTTAATTGATTTATAATTTTGGACATAAAGAGTAATGTTGATTTAATAATGTATTTACTATTAATTTTATAGTTTATTTATTATTGGTCAAATAAAAATAATATTTTATATATATATATATATATATATATATATATATATATATATATATATATATATATATATATATATATATATATATATATATATATATATATATATATATATATATATAATTTGATGTTAATATAATATTATTTAAATCTTTTTATTATGACACAAAATTGTTTATTATATGTAGTCAATAACATAATTTTTTATAATATATAAAAAAGTTATATTTTAAAATATAAAATTGATAAAAATATTAATAAAAATGTACATTGAATAAATTCAAGGTATTAAAAAAGTATTAGTATGAAATATTTTGTATATGATGGAATAAATTATGTGATAGTAAAATTAAATAGGTGAAAATTAATTATCTAAATTTCAATATCTTATAATAATATTTATGTATTAATGCAAATAAATTGTTAATATTTATAAATCGTATATCTATAATTTATATATAGTACGAATAAAAACTAATACATGGAAATCATTTATAATTATTAAATTTTAAATAAAATAATTAAATAAAAATCGTGATAATGAGAAGTTATTCATTATTTCATGATGTGGAAACTACATACTTCTTATTTTTTTAGATATATGTACACTTTACTTTTCTAACATTGGATGACGCAATTGTTTAGCATGAACGTTGATAGAACTAGTTACGAAAATTTATTCAAATTTATTGGTAGAAGTTGGAGTTCGTAAATTCAGAATCTGATCATGACGCTCATCATAATAATTCTTTGAAAAACATGACACAAGAGAAATGATATCAAATTTTAAAATTGTAATGTTGACTTTGATAAAGACATTTTTCATGTTAAACAATTGGTTTATATTTTTCTTATAGGCAAAGCATGTATTCAAAGGGAGCACAATGGGTGCTCTAACCCAAAATACAATCAAAACCAAAAAAATCCTACAAAAAATCAAGAGGGCATTCAAACCACTCATAGGGATTACAACGATACGATCCATTAGGCCTAAGAACCAACCAAGTCCATGAAATAGCTATGATTATTTCGAATAACACTTCTACATTATCTATTACATCATCGAAAATAATTTGATTGTGCATCTTCCATAAACACTGAAATTCTGGCAAGCACACGATGGATGTTATTGCCAAAGTTACATCCACTGTGACATTGACTATTGTACTAACTAATTAAACTGTCAGTAAAAGCAGTAAATAACACAGCAATTGTTCACCCAGTTCAGTGTCAACAACACCTACATCTGGGGGCTACCAAGCCAGGGAGGAAATTCACTATTAGCATAATCAATTCAAAGTCAAACAACCAGTTTGCACTTCTCACTTAATCTCTACCCAATGACACTTCAACCTAGAGACACTCTAGACCTGAGTATTCCCACTTACTCCCCCTCAAATGTCTTCTGTCTTTCAGCTTGAGCTCCTGATTTCTAGATACCAGAAAAGCTAACCTGCCCGCTGGATGTCATACAGTCAGTGTCATGACATTCTGTATGACATTCAGCTTAACTTATAGTTAACTTACCCTGCACACACATCATTAAGTATGTCCTAACATTTAGTATGACATACATGCAAACTCTAAAGTCTTGCCACAAAATGCAACCAATCAAGAGCACTTACAAACTCCCCCTTTGGCAAATTTTTGGCTAAAACACACTGTTTAACATATCAGAGTTTACACACAGCAGAAGACTTATCATGTGCCCTGTCATGCAGGAAAGTTACTAGCTCAACACACTCTCAGAGTCCTCACAGTTAGCTCTTACTGTTATAACTCACCTTGTTAACCATCTGCTAGTTATCACTACAGATGTCACACTTTGTTGAGTAACACACTGGGTTACTCCCCCTCAACTGATGCACCTTGCCAGCTGAGCACTTAAACTGCACACTCTGCAGTCACACATATTCATCTAGTCTGCTCTGGATGTTATGACATTCAGGATGACATATATCCTGAAGCACACACACACCTGTGCTACTCCCCTTGAAGAGATGCATAACACACTCTGCTACAACTCCTAAACACCTTCTAGGATCACACAGGGTTAACAACATACATAATCAACCAATCAATTCTAACAAACATTCCTATACACCATAGGAATTCACATACATAGCACATTACTAACAGCACTAGACAGCTGTTATCGCATATCTCCTCAGCAGCACCTGTGTTCACACCTGCAAGCATGATTATACCATGTGTGCCATGTGCACACAATAGCACATATGCTCTTCTTCAAGCTATCCACCTGTTTTGCACCTCCTGTTATTATCACTTTATCATTCTCTCCCCCTTTTTAGCCATAAATTAAGATCCAACTAAGGACTTAGCACAGATCAAAAATTGTACCATTACAATTGTTAGGGGCTGATGCGTCCGTAAGTGCACGGAAATATCGAAGTAATATAAAAGATTGTCGAACCCACAGAGACCAATGTCAACCTACCGTTATCTATTGTTACGATGTAAAGCTAAGGCTAATGGAATTTGGAAAGTTAAACGCGAACGAAATTAAAAACAAAAGAAATAAAGATTTTTAGTTTTAGAAATATATTAACAAGGGATATCGGTATGCAATGCCTTAGTTATCGGGGATTCGACAGGTCGCCGATGCTTTACAGTTTTTGCAAATGATTTTCAGGAGAAAATACTCGTTTAAAGACCTTTGCCTCACGATGGTTGTTGACTCCGGTCATAATTCTAAGGCGGAATGTACGCTCTCGCAGTCTCATTCGGGGTTAAAATTACTCTTTGAAAATAAGTAAGTTCTGATTTCTTTTAAAGCGCTTTTGCTGTATTTAAAAAAAATGCCTAGTTTTTACTATCCGGTTTGAACCCCAGCTTTCGTGTGCCGGTTCGTGCCTTAATGAATTTCCCACTGTCATGGCGAAACTACTGTAAATAATTTCTCGCTTTCGCGACGAAGGTTTATTTAGAAGATTTTAATTAAAAACTATGGCCAGAAAGATTGTTTGTAAAAAGGTAAGGTGCACTGGATATTATCGAATCCCATCCTACTAATTCGAGCACATACCGATAAAACTAATTTAGCTAGACATGATAACTAATGCAAACGAAAATAAACATAAACCGCAAAATAATAAAACATGCATTATGACAGAAAATAAAATAATAATTCAATTAATAAGAACCTGGAAAGTAGTACTGAGATTGAAGAGTAGTCCTCCACAATGTCGGCAGGATTCTACTTTGGCGAAATAAAATTGCAGAAAGAAATTACAATGTTCTGAACTAAAGAAAAAAAAAGGAAAAGAAATAAAAGAAACAAGAAAAATGGCTTCAATATAAATTTTGGCAGCACTTCGATACGTCGAAGCCCCCCCCCCCCCTCAATGTTGTGAATCTCAGGGTTATTTATAGGAGATATTTCGTTTCTCAACTTCCAGAGATCATGCATGAGTTATGGGGAAAGTGGGAGTAACTTTCAGTAGTGGGCAGTTAGTGGAGAAAGTGTAGGAGGAGATTAAGTTGAACATGCTCGTGGCCACTTCTGTGTTTGACGTTATTCTGTTTTTGAGAGCATGGCAATCGTGATGAATCTGTGACGGGCGTGACGACCGTGTTGCTCTGTTGCACCCCAAAATTTACCCAACATTTCTTCACCTAGCTTATGTTTCATTTCATTCATATTAGCATTATCATTTGCATTTCATTGATATGTATGCAGGAGATCAAGAGGTATGATTACCAATCAAGAGATATACAAGACAATGAAGCTATCTAAGAAGGTTATTCAAGTGTTCAAGGGTTAATATCCTTGTCAGAGAAGTTAAAAGATCCTCAGAGAGAGTGGTTGAAGCCAAGTGTGTAGGTCTCCTAACTTGAGAGTTGTGGGAAGCCATCAGATGATTCTGAGGTCATGGATATGGACTTGAGGTCTTGATAGAGCTCATGAGAAGTGTTGAAGATCACTTTGAGGCCTAGACAAGTCATTGTGTAAGAACAAGAAGCCTCAGCCAGGATTGATGCAGTTAGGGTTTGACTAGGTCAACCCTAAGTCAACTGAGGATTTGAAGAAGGTTGAGACTTAATTCAAGAGCCATGTGATCATGGATTGATACATTGATATGTTCTAAGAATGATTTCAAGATTAACTCATCATGATTGAAGAGTTTGAGAAGTTTCAAGCTAGGGCTTCTAAGACTTGATAGTGTAAAATCTCCTAGTTTGACCCCTGTCTTCAAGGCAATTTAACTCAAGATATGATTGTCATCTCATCTTGACCCCAACATGATTGTTGTAGAGCATGAGCTT